CAAGAACGGACAGCACAGCACTGGGCTGCAATCTGTGCTGAGCACCAGGAGCTAGCCCAAAAGCTGAGCACGCTAGCTTCAGCACAGACTGTCCATAAGGGAATTTGGTGCATCTCCCACTTGGGGATAAGTGCCAGCAAGCCCAGTCCCGAGGGGCCCCTTTCAGTACTTATTCTGAGACAAAGTCAAAAAATTCGAATCTACAAAGCTTCACAGAACGGAAGTCAAGGAGAAAAGGATTATTAATGTGAATTTTTAGGCCAAGTGCCTGCACACGCTATCAGGGGATCATCACGGCCCCAACTCCTGCTTCACAGCTCACCTTGAAGGAATAGCAGTAGCAGCAGGCTGTACTGTCGAGTACAAGGCTGCTCTACAGCCACCCAGCAGCTGCAACAACTTCATTAGCAGCATGTTATTTTCATTCATTAAGCACTCAACCACAACTGAGAAGCAGCTGCAGCCTTTCATAGGATGGTTATGTAAAGGCCCCTTCTACCCTGCAGGGCTTCCAGGATCATTTGATTTTTTCTCTAGGGAGTTCATGCTCTTATTAGCAGCATTTGGACTTGCTGATAAGCGCATATTTTCTCACTTGCTATCAGTGCACAGAAGGGCCAGGCTTTTTCAATAGATAACTGAGCAGAGGAAATGGTGCAGCTTGCTTCCCCAAGGTGCCCAGCTGAATTGAAAACAGGCCATTCCAGCTGCGAATCTGCTGCCAGGGAGCTGCTCAGGCAACAGGACTTGATGGAAATCACAGGACTACGAGAAGACATCCACATGCTGCCCTGAAACCAGCGCCCCGGAGCAGCTGTGGCCACAACCTCCTGGCTGCAAGACAAAGCTGTGCCACGCGGCTGGGTCTCAAGTGACCTGACACAAGCTTAGCATCTGCCTTGTGCTGCCAACACTAGCTCAGAGTGGCAAGGCCTCCGAGCAGTGCTGATGCTTCCCTGCCCGCCTCAGCCTATCGGCGGTCCGATACTCCACCTCCTTGTGCAAGGTGTCCGTTACACTTCCGTCTCCCTCCTTCATGGAGTCCAGCGGTGGAAGGGCAAGCACACTAGCGAGGCATGTATCAATCAGCTCTGTCCTGTCCGGGTCACTGAGATGTGGTTCTAGGACACTGATCCACAGGTTAAGGAAGCAACACAAACTCATCAAGCGCCACAGGAGCACCTTTCACATAGGTAAGGCAGGAAGAGGGATTTTAATATGCATTCCTTCTGACTTGACTCCATGTTCAATGGCACCGGCTTTAATTAGATGCAGGCAGAGTGTTCTCAGTATCTGTGTCAGGAGCTGTGACGTGCTGAAGTATTTTTAACCGTAGCTCAGAAGTCATCTTTGCCTAACGGAGAGCGCAATGCCCTTGGCTCCGTTTTCTATGAAGAACATCTACTGCAGAGCCCAATAAGAGCCGGGCCTGAGAATGGTTATCGACGGGCTCGTGGCAAGCAGTGGGGGTGGCTGGCTGGAAGCTGTGCTACCCAGACAGCCTGGTTTTACCCTGTCTGGCACTGCTCTTTTAAAGTGCCCCCAGGAGGCCAGGCTCTGCCGTCGGACCTGTGGGGCAGATGCAGAGCGTGGGTCGGGCTCTGCCAGTGCATCGGCTCCCCGTGAGCACCGGAAGTGGTTTTTGCCCACAAATGCAGGCACAGAGGAAGGATACACCAAGTAAGTACAGGTGATCATTGCTCGCTGGCGAACCGGCGTCCGCATCGAGTCCAGCGGTTCTGCTTTTATGAACTCCTGGAGCACAGGATAAGAGGCAACGGTCATTAAGGTCACATCTGCCTCCCGCCTCCCTCTAGACACAGGCCAAACGTCTTGCAGCGTCTGCTGCCTCACAAAGCCCAGCCCCCCCAGGACAGCAAGCCCACAGCCGCTCTCTGACTTAGCCTGACACCCCTAATTCCCATGCTGCACGGCAATCCTGCACCTAGGACAATGCAGATCAGTGGATGCAGCGCTGTCCCTCACCGACTGCAGGTCTACTTCTGCTCCCAGGAGGCCATCCTCCTACCTCTCACCTCCCCGCACCCACTAGAAGCTGGTGCGTCCCATTTCTTGGGGGACAGGCTGAGCCCAGACCAAAGGTCCAGCTAGCTCAGCATCTTGCCCACAGCAGAACCCGGCAGACACATGGGGATGGAGCTCAGCTGGGCAAACTTGTGCCAGTCCTTTCTAGAATATCCCCTGACCACAGCTCTTGGGCTTCTAGAGCGGAAGCAGACACTCCTGTGTTTACCTCTCAGCAATTTGGGTTAGAAACCTTCTTCCTTCCAGTAACAGCAACCAACCCACACTAACTACCCCCGAGCTAGGACACCTTCCAGCTGCCTAGAGTGTGCTCTTACCACCATCTGGGCCACAAGCTCAGCTTTGCGGGAGAAGACGAAATCCCCACATTTCACACCATTGCAGATGGCTTGGCTGATCATGCAGATGCTCCGGATGAGGCACAGCTTCAGGGTCAGGTCCTGAGTGCAGAACCCAGGGCAAGAAGTGAATGGTAGCTTTGCCACATAAGCGTAACTTGCTATCCCACCCAGCTTTGGTACCCCTCAGAATTCTGGTGCTCAAGTCGAGTACAACAGCTCGGTCCTCCTTCCCTGTGCCATTAGTAGCGTGTGGGCTCAGCTCTCTCTGCTCCTTATCCAAGTTATGGGCTCTCTGGTGACCAGCAGAGCAGAAGGGCATCCTCTCCCAACTGGACGCCCCATAGAAGCAGACTAGCTGGACACCAGGAGCTTCCACCCAGGCAGCATACGGAAAGAAGAAAGTGCTGCTTGGTCTAGCTCCTCCCTGGTGAGGCAGCATCCCAAGCACACAAATGCTTGGGGTAACTCCAGAAAGCAAAATCCTGCTCCTCAGAGTTTCCACGAACTATTCCTCCTACATAGCTCTTGGTCTAGGACTGCCATTACTTCATTTTGGACGTCACAGACTCAGGAGGAGATACTAGTCCCTCCTGGAAGCTGGTGGCTTCGCGGGCTGTGACTGGAGCCCTGTCAAGTGGGGCGATCAGCTTGTCACACTGCCCATTACTGAGTGCTGTGAGCAAGCAAGTGCTCTGGCGCTGGGGGAAAGATCCCGTCTTGCTTTGTTGCAGTGGATTAACAGCCTCCAAAGAGCATGCAACCCCTTGTAGCCTCATAGCAGGGCTGCCAGAGGGGTTAGTTGAGAGGGCACTTATTTCTTTAGATCCAGGAAATGGGATAATAACTATTAAGGCCTGTTTATGCTCTTGTACGTGCACAAGCTGAGACACGGCTCCTCGCCCCAATTAAAAGCGTTCCTTTCGTTCCAGCCCTTGACCACCCTGCTCCCAGGTGAGCCCATAAAGGTGGCCGCAGAGCCAGAAGAGTGTTTTCAAGTGAGAACGTCCCAAGTGCTCAGCGGCCAGAAAGACATTCTGCAGAAGCTGTTAGTGCCAACAGGAGCCCAGAAGGAAAACGCATTAGTGGAGTCTGGAGAAGGAGTCTCTTTGGCCTGACAGTTTAACTTCAACTTGACAAATGCCATTTTTGTTGTTCAGCCTTTCAAAAAAAAAAGAAATGTAAAAAATACAGCCCCCAGTTCCCCCCAAGACAGTAATCTGTGTTTTAATATCTGGCCATTGAATGATTGTTCCAGGGGGAAGTAAGGAAATTAGTTTAGTGAATTTTAGCTGAGCTGTAGATTGTAGCTTGGTCTCTGGAGTCATTAAACTTCCCCAGCTAAGTGCACATGCAGGAGGAGATGGAGGGGCTGCCTGAAAACCCTCTCTGCGGGCAGGGGAGACAAGCAGCTCACCAAGCATCAGAGCTGTGCGTTCTGGAGCAGCTCCAGGGAGCATACTGCGAGCCCTTCACACACTTCCTAGGGTTTCTAGGGCAGGCACGTTTTGAGGTCAGCTCTTTCTTGCTAGAAGCGCAACCCTGAACCTGGCCCCAGACTGGTCCTCTGCCACCTGGGGAGTACTCTGCAGAGCCCCTGCAGTGCAGGCTGCCGTCGTGCTGCCCTGAAAGCTGGAGAGCTCATGGGAAGAGCACATCTTCAGCAGAAAGGGCTGGAAAAAGAAACTCAGGTTTGCCAGCAACTTATAAGCTCTACCTGGGCCTTAAGCACCTATGGGAGACTAAAGCAGCCTCTGGTCCAGTTCAGCTCAGCTTTTCAACACTATGGCAGCGAGTCACTGAAGCATATTTTCTCCTATGACTCCTGTCCTACCAGAAAGGCGTTTTTCACTTTCCCTCAACTGCAAGTCTTGACATTTTCAGGTGATCACTCCAGCACTGAGAACCTGACTTTGGAGCTCAGGGTGGGTTGGGTAGCAGCTCTCAATGGCTCTCCCAAGTCCCCAAGGGCACAGGGTTGCTGCCGTGAGCACAGCAAGGGAACTGCTCTCTAGGGTAATCCAGAGCAAGAGGCAGAAAGAGACAGGAGGAAAGAGCAGAGAGAGTAGTTCAGATTTAATGCCTCACACTGTACCTTGGTTTCTACCTTTATTCCCAGTACCTGAACAAGTGAAAGAAAAAAAACAAGACACATTAGCAATGCAGGGGTGAGAATGACGGCAGAGAATGACTTCCTCCCAAGGCCTGCCCGCAGATCCCAGCCAGGGTTTGGTCCAGGGCTTTTCAGGCGGAGCATTAGCCAGAACAGCCGGGCTGCTCCAGCTTCCCGAGGTGTGCCAGGTCACTGGCCAGCTCTCCCTCTCCAGCAAGGACGAGGGCATCCCAACAGCTTACCTTGGTGTTAAAGTACTGGAAGACATTCTTCAGAATGTCTGCTTCGATCCTGGAGAGCACAAGCTCCTTGGGTGCATATACAGCTACGAATCCATAGCACAGGATCAGTGTGCTCTTTATCTTCTCCACTTCATTGTCACTGCGGTCCTGTCACAGCACATACAGAAGTTAATCGGGGGAGGCTGGTGGAGCATCCAGGGCTCTTCCCGATCCTCAGGAGACAGAGGTTTCTACAGAGCCTCTGTTCAATCAGCTGGAAGCACCTCCAGAAGAGAGGGACCTTCAGCACACGGCTTCCGAGCCGTGCTTCCCTTCCCATTGGTAGCAGCTACTTCTAGAGTCCCAATGGAGCATCAGGTCCATATGTGTGAGCTGCCTTAATAGCTCAACTCCGGCTGAGGCATGAGTCCCAATGGCACCTTCCCTTAAAGCCTTGTAGGGAAGTCACTTGAGCCTCATCCTGGCCAGGTTATTTTGGCAGCCTGGCGTTATCTACCCTGCTAGAAAGTAGTGTCCGTAGCCCCATTAGCCACCACTGCTGGAGCATTTCACACGCACCATCCCCAGAGAGCAGCTCATGGCAGGCTCCCTCCATACCAAGATCTACAGGGCAGCTCAGCGCTGCCAGGGCAAGGGCTTCCTTGACACGCAACAGCCTCCTCGCCCAAATCCCAGGCTCTGCACATCTTTCTGCTGCAGCCCGAGGACTCCTCCGTGCCCAGTGCTCTGCTGCTTCCCATGCACGCCTGCCACGAGCAGAGCAAGCACGTGCCATGGGGCAGCAGCGTGAGCCAAGGCTGCTCTGCTGCCAGTCCTCTCAAGGGCACTCAGCGCTAATCCTGTCCTTCACACTCCCAGGTTTAGAGGCTGGTAACTAAAATAGCCATCTGGGTCAGAAAGGTTGAGGAAAGGCTTTCACTGCCAACACTCTGGGCGCAAAACACTCCCTTCTTCCGAGGAGTGCGTAAGGCTGCAGTAGCCATGAGGGGATTACTGTCAAACACTAACCCCAGGTAACAGCCAAACCACACTCTGCATCACACCAAGGTCCCCTCGACAGATGCAGAAGCCAAGTTACAGCTTATTCAAGCCCACCCAGCAAGCAGGCAGCTTCGCTGGGATTTGACTCTGCAGGCGTGCAGAGCTGGGAGCTAGCTGCTGCTCATTCCAGCAGTCTCTAATGCCAAAAAGATCGCTCCAGAGAGGCAGAGGGTATTCCAGCCCCATGTCAAGTACACTGAAGCAGGAAATTAAGTTCTTTCCAGAGGACAACTCCAGCACATACCGTATCTGAAGAAGCCTGCATGTCCCTTTTGCTGCAGGCTGAGCCACAGTAGGGACAGTCTGGCTCTTACTGAGCCACAGTAGGGACAGTCTGGCTCTTACCTTGAAGATACTGAATAGTCCCACGGATTTCTTGAAGACATCAGACCTAACAAAGTCTTCCAGCTTGGCGAGGGTTTCCTCCAGGTGATTTATGGCACATATCCCAAAGCAGGAAGCAAGTCCCTGGAGGAAGTGAAGAGAATACATTAGCAGAAAGCTATTAATTCACCAGTCCCAACTGACATTTTTAAAAAGCCTGTTTATTGGTTTAATTCCAGGCATCTGAACTGTGCCTAGCTAAGAGCAGTCCTGGCAGTCAGCGTTCACCTCTCCCAGACAGGGACATGCCTCCAGAGAACAGAGGACACACTAATGCCATCTGTGTCTGGATGGCCCGGCTGGGCCACAGCACCTGGAAACCTCATTGCTCAGGAGGAGCTTTTGCTGCTCAGGTCTTGTGCCGCGGGAGCTTTCGCTGCACACTCCCCAGCAGTCAGACTCGGCCCGCTCTCCAGGAGACAGGAGCACGGTCGAGTGCTCCAACTGGAGCCAAAAGCAAAGCAGGCTTAGCAGGTCCTGCCTTTCTGTTACAACCTCCAGGAGGTCTACCAAGCCAGGCTGAAACTCCATAAACAGTTTATTCAAGACAGCTCTTGACAGAGTTGCGTAAACTGGATCAAAGCCAGGCACCATTAGCTTGTGTTTGTACTGCACTTAAACGCAGCTATACACCAGAGTAACATTCAGCACTGGAGCATTTGAACAGTGCACAACAGCGCTGCGCGGGGCTGCGAGCAGGATCCAGTTCAGCTGAGAGCGTAAAGGGAAAGCAGGGAGTCAGGGAAGGTAGAGCAAGAGCCTGGCCAGGACTCCTGGGGAAGGGGTCAGCCCAGAGCAAAGGCAGAGCTGGCTGCAAGGGCTCTCCAGAGAAGTGCTAGTGTTGTGCACCTCCAGCTCAGTAGAAGAAAAACAAGTTCGGGACATCCTTAAGAGATAGCTAAACCCTCTTGCAATCCTGCAGGTCTAGTATCACATGCTGAGCAAGCTAATTTCCAGCCTAATCCTTGGCACGTGAGGCAGTCTCCCTTGTAGCCTCAACTCTGCTTTGCAACAGCAAGCTAGGTAGCACTGGGGCAGCCACATCCGCAGAGCTCAACCCAGACCTTGACTTCCAGGCAGCAAAGGAAGGTCTGAGCTGGCTGTGAAAGTGCTGCCAATCACCACCCACAAACAGATGACCAGAGCACTTGAGCCAGAGGTTGCACAAGGAGGGCAGGGTAGCACCGCTGACCACTCCAACGGTGACAGCAGCAAGTCTGTAGTGGCATGGTAGGCGTGAGGCTCCATAGAGCACAGCACAGGGAGGTGGTCAGAGATGTCACTGTGCTGCCTTGGTGCAGTCAAGAGCTGCTGGGACCAAAGCTGCCCTGGAGAAACTTCTCACTGCCTACAGATGTTCTGGAGAGCAGGGGGAGACACTGCCACACGAGAAAGAGCAACCCCAGAGTGACCTCGAGCCATTGGGCTGGAGCCTACAGGAGCAGGAAGAGCTGGGTCCCCTTCCCTGGAGACAGGGACAGGCCGTTCCTGGAGAAAGAGGATCCAGAGCAAGAGCTCCACCTGAGAGGTCCTGGCTGACCATGCCACTCTGCTTCAGAGACCTGAGCCAACACCACAGTGTGGAAGTGGGGAAGGTTTTGCAATTCAGCTGTGCTAATTTAACAGTTGGCTGTCAAGGAACAGTGCTGAACCCACCTGACCACACGGCAAGCCAGGGCAGGCAGCCAAGCCAACAGAAAACTCCGTTTTTTTTCCTGTGGCACTGGTTTAACTCCCCAAACCGGTAGAGCCACACGAGCTGCAGCTCAAGGGACACAGCAGGAGCCAAAGAGCCCCTTTCAGCCACAGCTTGCTGCCTGCTGTGCTGTCACGCATGCGCAGAGCCTGGCAGGCTCCCAGAGGACAGGACAGTGATGATAGCTCTGCCCACGAGATGGCACCCGGCAGTAATAGAGCCCGATGAGCCCCAAACTCATGCTGGGCCCAGGCACAGTGCTTCCACCTCAGAAACGGGCAGAGTCCCTCCTGGCACTGAAGGATTCCCCTGAGGGAGCAGCTCCATCTGCATGTGCACGACAGGGGAGCAGTGCTTCCCACCCCAGCCTAGGACTGCTCCTGCTTGAGACAGTGCCCCAAGGTGCTCCCATATCTCATCTGGCTTCAGGGCCCTCCCACCGCGAGACTGCGCTGCGAGCCACGCACTGGCTCTCCTTACATTCCAGCTCTGGGTCTGTTCATCCAGACACTGCAGACCTATTCTGCAACAAGCCAAGCTCCATGAGGCACAATCCTGGGCCAGGCACAGTAGCATAGAGAAAGGGAAGGTCAGCATGGCACGGCTGCTCTCCTGGTGTGTCAGGAGGTCCCTTGGGACATTTGGCACAACTCTTCCTCACCTCCCATTCTGCCTTCTCGTGGTATCTGGCTGTTTCAAGGAGCTCCTGAAGTTGCTTTTGCACAAGATCTTTGCTTATGCATGCCCCAAGCGTTGTTCCGATGCATTTATAGAGAAAGTTCTGGAAGAGCAAGAGAAGTGGTACATCCCTGTGAAACCAACACCCAGGTGAACACCAGAAGGCAGGCTCAGCTAGGTCCCATTTAGACCTCAGGCCTGCTTCAGGAAAGCAGCACATATGCTGTACAGCTCAAGCCCAAAGCTTGCTCCTCGCAGCACCCTGGAGGCCCATCCATGCCCCAGAGGGAAGGTGCAGGACAGAAGTCACACTGCAGAGCAGTGCTCTGTCCAAGGAAGAGCCGCTTCTGACAGCGGCTTTGAGCTCAGTCAGTAATTCAACAGCTCTGACTTGGAATAAGCCATTAACCCTGGAGAGGCACCAAGCCAACTCTGGTCACTAGAGACAGGAACAGGTATAATGAAACCCTTTTTCCCTGTGCAGAGAGAAACAAGAAAATCACTACAGCAGAGTGAGAAACGAGTACAGATTTTCCAACACTGTCTCTAGAGCCTCTGGTGACCAGATAAGCCAAGCTCAGCCCTGCCTGCTCCTGCAGAGCACCAAGGCCTGCAGCAGCCACCGGCACGTGGAAGACCCCTTCTCTCCCAACCCACTGCAGCAAGGGTCTCCTTTGTCCTCCATCCTCTAGGACTGGGAACCCTACAGCCTTGCAGCCTGTCCCTGCACCGATGCAGTCAGAAACAAGGCCGTTTGGTTCCTCCTCATCTGCACCAGGTCTTTGCCCGGTTCAGATCACTTCTTGTTCAGCTGAACTACAGTCCTATTCGCAAGCCAGTGCGGTCCTTGGCCAAGCGCTGGCCTCGTGAGCGCTGCCAGCCTGTCGATTCCACCCCCCCACTCCCCTGCGGGATCACCTTCTCCAGCGCAAAGCCGTTGTAGTTGTTCAGCTGTTTGCACATCTCCATGCTGAACTGGCAAATCCAAGCGTTGTCAGACACAGCCATCAGCGTCTCCTGGAGGAACTGAAGGAGAAAGAACCATCATCTGAAGACATCCTAACAAATCTGCTTCTAGCTAAACGAGGAGTCTCAGTAAGGAGGCGTAAGAGCAACGGAATAAAGAAAAGATGGGGAGGGGATGGTATCTCTCTCCCCTTGGTGTTGTATGCAGCTTGTGTCAGACATACCTAGAGCTTGTCTGCACTGAGTGAACATGCAGCCCTCTGGATCACCAGAGGCTACCTGGCCCTTCAGACACCAGACTGTGCCCCACAGCAGATCTGCTCTCACCCACAGCCATTCCCCCACTCCAGAAACATGACTTTTTCCTCAGGGTCAGGTCTTTTCCAAGGCAACCTGTACCCAGATAACACAGCCATCTTCAGAGGAGAAAGACGAACCCTGCCCAGGTTTAATTGCTTCTCCATGTCCCATTTTAAGGTTCTCCAATTAAGCGGGGAGACACACCTGGGATTGGTGTTCTCTGA